GCTGTGTTTCCCTTGTGCCTGGCCATCCTGTTGGGATCCTCTTAGGCCAGGGCTTTGTTCTGGAGAGAAGTTAAGTGGATGAGGAAGGAGCAGAACCTACTAATTACATTACTTCCTTCAAGGCCTCTTGCACACACTCAGCCCACTCTCCCCAGCCCCGCCTGCCCGTGGTGTCCTTGCTCCTGCCCTGGGGATGCTCCGGAGTGGGGAGAGCAGTACCTGGTAGATCTGAAAGACTTTCTGTAGGAAGTTTGGAGTGAGGGGGGCTCCATACTGGAATCACAGAGGTGTGAGCTGGAATCCTGACTCCATCACCTACAAGCTGTGTGACTTTAGGCAAGTGACTTAATTTCTTTGACTGTCAATTTCCTCATTAAGAAAATGGGAGTAATAATACCTTCGTGGTTCCCAAACTTTGCTACATTTTGGAATCACCTGGGAATCTTTAAATAGTGCTAATAATGTCTGATTTCCAGCTTTCTACCTTCTGATTTCATTGGTTTGGGGTGCAACCTGGTATCAGGAGTTGCAAAAACTTTCCAGGTGATACTGAGCTGCAAAGTTGGGAACCACGTCATAGAGTTTGGGGGGGGGGATAAAAGGAGATATGCAGACATGTGGGGAAGACTCAGTTAATGGAGGTGATTATTTTTTAATTCAGTTCCCTGCCTCTCACGCCACTTATTGTGGGATCTGAAGGGAGAAGGATAAAAGGAGTATGCAGACATGTGGGGAAGACTCAGTTAATGGAGGTGATTATTTTTTAATTCAGTTCCCTGCCTCTCACGCCACTTATTGTGGGATCTGAAGGGAGAAGGAGGGTTTTCATTTCTTCTCCATGGTGGGTTTGCCTTGAGTGCTGACCCTGAAGTGGCTGACTGTGGTCCATCTTTACTAGAAAAGCCCTTCCTTCCTTTCCCCGTCTCATGTTAAAACAGAAACTGTCTCTGCAGCCCTAGGGCAGACCTCCGTCTTCCTGACAGTCTCCAGGGAGTTCATGATCAGACCAGGATGTCTGAGAGGGAAGCTGGAAGGAGTGGGGGTTGACGGCACATGACCAGGCCTCCATGAGACTCTTCCTGGTGGCTTTGCAGATGGAAGGTCTGGTCCCCACGCAGGTCTCTAGGAGACAGAGGGCCAAGATGCTGACATGTGGTACACTAAGTCTGGATGTGGTGGTCTGATCTGGGGTGGGGCTGGGCTCGGGGGAGGGTGTCCGTGGAGACAGAGTTGGGGAGGGGCCCCCTTCCTTAGTACGCTCTACTCTGCTCCTTGGCACCATTGGAGGCTCGGCAGACCTGAAGTGGAGGCTGTGAAGGAAGACACATTTCCCTAGATTCCTCAGCTGTTTCTGACAGGAAGTTGTGCATCACTGGGCTGACAGGAAGGAAATGGCTGTGCTATTTGGAGAGAAATAGAGAATTCTGACTGGGGCTGGGGAAAAAGGTGTTTGCTTGTGGAAGCTGTTTTGTTCCAATATAGGGACTCTTTCTCCTCTCAGGCGCTTGCTCCCTGTTTATTTTCCTTTGAATGACAAAGATTCAATTTAGCTAATGAGCTGAGAGAGGGAAGTGAGAGGGGGTCCTGTGAGATTTCAGGAGGTGGAGAGCCTTCGCAGGACGTGCATCCTTCTGCTTTTAATCTGCGTTTCTTACCCAGCTTCCTGCTTCGGGGAGCTGGAAGGCAACAGAGCATTTTATGATCTCGCACACCGCTCTCTTCTCCATCCACAAACCATACCTTGGCAAATGCCTTTGATTTCTATTTCTTTTTACCACCCGCAAAAAACCACAGTGAATCTTTTAATAGCACAAGGCCTTTTGGATCACTAACCAGTCGGTCGCCAAATCCTATCCATCTGAGTGCCTGAAGTGCACTCAGAATAGACACTTTTAATAAAATAGATTCCCTTTAAGCCAGGGTAAACCTGTGAAATTTGTACATTTCTTTGAGAGCATCTCTACAAATTTTACAGTATTGAAATCACCACCCAGTGACCTTTCAGGAAGTATTAGATAAATTATAAGAGACAAATAGACCAAAAGGAGAGGTACAATTTCCAGTGCCTGTCCTGCCAGGTTCTCAGGTTGAGTCTTAGAAATCCCCGGCTCCCCGTGTACCCCTCCTCAGCCTTGTGGCGGCCCCTGCCCGCCTGCTTCTCTCCCTGCCTGCCCGCCCGGGTGTCCTCTGAGATATTTGCAGCTCTTAGAGGCAGCTATGGTATGTGGTTCCTGGCACCTTTTCCTGTCTGTGTTTGCCTCTGCGCTCCATTATTCAAAATGTTTCCACCGGTGGCCAGAACCCCCAGAAATGCCCTTGGGGCTGGCCGGGGGCTGCTTTGGAAAGGCTCGGATTCTCTGCCAGCTGGGTCTGCCCCATGCATGTGGCAGGGAGTCCTCGGCCTTGCCAAGTGAGAACCAGGCTGGGGTCCAAGCCTAACCAACCCTCCCAGTGGTCCGAGGCCAGCCCTTTGTGTGTGGTTTGTCCACTTTGTGGATCTCCTCACCCCCGCCCCTAGGTCAGGTCCCCGCTGTTGTCTCTCCAAGTTGGGCACCTTCCTTCCCTACCAGTTGGTGGTGCTCAGGGGATGTAAACCAGGTATAATATACTGTTCATACTTTGTGTAGGGA